GTGCCAATGGAGATGCGATTCTTTCATACTTTTTGAAGGATGCCAATTTGATCTCCTTCAGACGCCGCGTAGGGCAGTTGTTAGTAGATATATACCACACAGGGCGCTTGGCATTGTCGTAGATCTATTTGCTTGATGATGATGGTGCACGGTGCATGTCGATGCAGTGTAGATTAGTTGTAGGTAGATGTATCAGATCCGTTCTACTAACAACGTCTAGGATGTCGACGTTGTCGTAGTATTAATGTCAGGACATCAGTACAAGTGCCGACAGCGAAGATCGGCCGTGGCTTCAGCGGCAATGTCGACGTAGAGCTTTTCGTGCTTATAACGTGCTGTAAAACACATCGCCAGTGGTTGGGACTTTTCTCTCTCATCTCTCATGATTGACATAGTAGATAAAAGTAGAATACATAGACACAAGATATAAGGAGACTATTCTTTATTTCTCTGAATATTGGTGATTATATTATAGAGCTCCTACGTACATATAGTCGTGTCAAGGTATGAGAGTTTGTAATAAACGGATTAGGATTGGAATTCCTCCTTTACAATTTCTTAGGGTAGAGTCTGTATGTTTTGCCACTTTCAACACATGTGCGGGCTTTTGTTTCTCACGTGGTTAGGGAAATCGGCTTCCGTGCCGAGCGCCACTAGGATCGCACGTCACTGCCCCTCACGCACGAAGAAAAGGAGATCGGGCGCTTCTGGTTCTATGGTCATTAGGGATTCTGGTGATATTTTTCTTTTCCAAGATTATTTACTTAGTGGGGTTTAGCTTTATAAGAACTAGAAGCATAACTCGCGCGTAGCTACAGAAATTGCATATTAGTGAAGTGCGTGGCATGATGCATAGATAATAAAATGCTTATATGTCTTGCTAATGTGGACATAACTATTGCTTGTGCTCTTGGATTTTAATTGTGTGATAGTGCATTGCCTTTTTAGATAGCTTACATGTTGAGAGAAATATAGTAGTGGGTTTTGGATTTTAATGTTGTGTGATAGTTCATTACCTAGTTGGATAACTTGCATGTTGAGAGAAATATGGTAGTGAGATTTTCTTTATAAGAATATAAGATATATATATATATAATATAATATATATATATATATAGCAACTACTATACAGCTGGCTACAGAATAACTTATTCTGTAGCCACTTTTGAGTTACGATAATTATTATGCTAATTTACATGATTATAGTAACTCCTTACTAAGTGGTTTACTATAATGTCATGGTAAATATTCCCATATGTTATAGTAACATAATTATTGTAAATATGTATTGACATTATCATAAATTAGTATATAGAATTATCGTAAATAGAGGTGGCTACAGAATAACTTATTTTGTAGCTAGCTACTGAATATACTGTCCCTATATATATATATATATAGACAAAATATAGAAGGCTTGAGGTGCATTTGGGGATTCTATCGTGGTAGCTGGCGGTGTTGATAGAGGTTTTTTGAGTTTTTAGTGACCAAGTTCGTTCGCTGTTATTGTTCTTGCTAACTGGCTGCAGAGTTTGTTCTTCTTTTGGTTTTTCTTTTTCCTGTCAGTAGCCTCACAGGGCTATTTGCTTGTATTTTCTTCTATATCAATAGAAACAGACACTGACCTTGGTGCCAGTTTGTTAAAAAAAGTATAAACATTATGTTTAGATACATACAGTGAAAATAATATATCTAGATTTAGAAAAACTAAAACATCTTATAAGTTATAATGTATCAAGAAAAGTTAAAACGTCTTATAATTTAAAATGAATAGAGTATTATATTTGACCATACTAAGGACGTCTCCAGATTAGTTTAGGAGGAATCTAGAGGTATCAAATATATATATATATATAAAAGTGCATAGCAAACGCTATGTATTTAGAAATGGTAATTCCTATAGGGCGTCCGTCCGTCCATCCGGATGCTTCTATTGGTGGGCCGCAACACCTCTATCCTATCTGTTCGTCCACCCCTTTCTCTAGAAGGCTCTCCAGTCATGTAGTTTCTCAAAAGAAATCAGGGCCGCAACCGTGCTCCATCCACCTTGGCGTTCTCCACAGCGTCCGGACGACCACCGGCCGGCATCTCCAATGCTCCCGAGCGCAGCCACCCGCCTTCCTACCTCTCTATCACGCTTGCTGCCCGCCACGGCCGCCTGTCTTCCTCTTGGAACTTGTATCGTCCTCGCGTTGCTATGGTGCCTGGTGTGGCTGCCTCTGAGTCCACTTCCTCCGCCACCCAATTGCAAAACCCTCCGCCCAACGGCGCATAGTAGATGAACTCCTCTACCATAGGCGTATGCAGCCGTGTGGCCCTACAGTTTGTTATGCGTCGTGCTGTGCCGGTTGCTTTGATGCGCCTCCGGCCCACTTCTCACGTAAACGTCCTCCACGTCGACCATGCTGATGGCTGGCTTGCTCGTGGATGATCTTGGATGGCAGCGGCAATGTGGCTTGGCGCAACCAGGGTGCACGTGTAGCTTCGCTCCCTCTGTGCGGCAAACAACAAGGAGATGTTGCCCTAAAAGCGCATGTTGCAAGCGTATGTTCTAATTGTTTCATATGTTTCATTGGTATATCGCAAGTGTTTCACATGGATGTTGCAAAAGTAGATCGGCATGTTGCATATGTTGCAACGGCCATACACGCTTGTTGCAAACGTTTGTTCTAAATGTTTCATCTGTTTATTAGAAGTATGTTGGCCGCGTTTTATGTGGATGCTACATTTATATTCACGCATATGTTGCATACGTTTCACGCATATGTTGCAAGTATTTTATCTGGATGTTGCATATGCTTGCAACAGCTTTCAAGTGTTTTCAGGCATTTTGTAAGTGTTCCAGACATATGTTGCAAGTATTTCAGTTGTTTTGGACGTATGTTGTAAGTATTTTATCCAGATGTTGCGTATATTTTGCAATGGGTTTTTAGTATTTTCTGGTGTTTTTGCAAGTATTTCAGATGCACGTTTCAAGTGTTTGATGTAAGTGTTGTATGTAGATATTTTAAAATTAGATCAGGTGTTGCACATGGTATACGTGTGGGAAGTGGGAGAGGGCGTGAACGGTCAACCTGTGGCAACATCCGGGCGTCACGGCCCCGCATGGGCACGCGAAACACAGGCGCGGGGGGCGATGTCTAGGCAGCGCGGGCCCAACGTGGATGCATGGAAAAGGACCGCAGCCGCGGGCATCCGGATGCGGGCGATAGTAGTGCCGATTTAGAAAACCAAAACTTCTTTTATGATTGGGGAGAGAGTAATTCACATATAATAAATATATCTGATCTGACGTGGAATATATAACGCGTACCTGTGGATCTTTCCGGACGTGGAAATAAAGGGCATATTTTAGAAAGAGAATTGTAAAGCAGGACGTGGAAGAAGGAAGCAATAATGTGGAACCTTGACTCCACTAGCAGTCATCAGTCCAAGTCATCGTAAAGGTCCACAATCGCCTTCCACGGTGACCCCGACGTCGCCGCGCGCCACGAAGTCAACCGCTGCGGCCCGGCACCACAGTTGACTCCATGGACGACTTCGTTCTCCTCCACTCCCTCTCCGTCCCTCTTCCACCCAACAACCAATCAACAGCCGCGTCCACAAGATCTCCACGCACGCTGCCGCCGGCCACGCCATGGACACCCCGCTGGTCGCGCTGATCGTCGTCGCCGGGACCTCACTCGCCGTAGCGGTGCCCTGCCTCCTCCTCGCCTTCCTCTGCCGCCGCCACAGCAGCAGCAAGAGCCAGCTGAAGCCCCGCTGCTGCTTGGCGGCGGCGTCAACGCTCCGGGTCTCCGCGCCCGCCGGGACGACGCCAGCAGACTGCCCGTCGTGGTCCTTTTACGGCACGGCCGCGGACGCCTCGCTGCTGAAGCTCTCCCTCGCCGACCTCGCCGCCGCCACCGGCGGCTTCTCCCCGGACAACATCATCGGGGACGGCAGCTTCGGGTTCGTCTACCGCGCCGTGCTCCCCGACGGCGCCGCGGTCGCCGTGAAGCGCCTCTCCGGCGACGGCGACGCGGGCGCCGGCAACCGCGAGTTCCGCGCCGAGCTGGAAGTGCTGGGCAGCCTGAGCCACCCGAACCTCGCGCGCCTGCTGGGCTACTGCGCCGCCGGCCGCGACCGCATCCTCGTGTACGAGCTCCTGGAGCGCGGCAGCCTCGACGCCTGGCTCCACGGTGGCGACGCCGTGGACGGCGGCGGCACCAAGACGCTCCCCTGGTCCGCGCGGCTCTGCGTCGCGCGAGGCGTGGCCGCCGCGCTCGATTTCCTCCACCATGGCCGGCGCCCGCCCGTGCTCCACCGCGACATCAAGTCCAGCAACGTCCTCCTCGGCGAAGGCTTCGAGGCCAAGCTCGCCGACTTCGGCCTCGCCAGGATCGTCAGAGGAAGCCCTGCCAAATCACACGTCAGCACGCAAGCCGCCGGCACCGCCGGGTAAATCAAATTCACCTTTGTATATATGTATACATATATTTCTTTGCATGAACATGTCTACGCATTCATACAGAGAATCGGAACATTAGCTGATTAGCCCTCTTCTGATCTGGACCACAACAATCATAGATCGTTAGAAGAAATTGCAAATTCATAATTACGATTGCAATTAGCATGGTCAAACTATCATAAAACAGTACGTGAACAAATGCATTAGTAATGACAAATTTTGTTTTCATAAAGATTGATTGGGCATGATGTTTGTGGGATACCAAACAGGTACGTGGCACCGGAGATATGGGACGGTGTGGGCGCGACTGCGAAGGCAGACGTGTACAGCTTCGGCGTGCTGGTGATCGAGTTAGTAACAGGGCTCCGGCCAAGTTGGCCGATGAAGGCCAGCATGGGCGACAAGGAGGTGAATCTGGTGGATTGGGCAAGGGATAAGATAGGTGCCGGACTGGCGTCGGAGATCCTGGACCGTCGGATGGGCATCCCAGCTCAAGGGAAGGAGATGGAGGAGGCCAAGGGGCTCTTGGAGATTGCACGCAGGTGTATCGACAGTGCTGCCAAGAACAGGCCCACCATGGAGGAGGCTGTGGCCATGCTCAGCAAGATTTGAGGATGTGGGAATTGAAATCAAGCGCCTGATTGCTGCTCGAATAACTGTATGATTGTTGCGTAGGAAGTACAGGCTTCTTCAGAAGAATCTGAACGCAGAAAAAAGGTGAATTGTTTGTGTTGTTTTTGCACAAAGGAAAGTGTACTGCTTGCAAAATGCCATGCAGTCCTGATGTACCCTACCATAGGTTGCGACAAGGCAAGCATATTTTTTCTCCACAAATAAATTCGCATAATGTGGAAGAAATTTGGAGATAGCTAGATCGATGTACAATTCTGTGTTGATACTAAAGTTCAAGTCTTTGGGACTCTCTTTTTGGTAATGAACATGTCTGTGCCGGTTGGCGTTAATAATATTGACAGATTTGTAAGAGCATCTCCAAGAGTTTACAAAATAATCTCCTAATCCGTGATTTTTGGCAAAATTAAAAAAAATACAACTCTAACAACTCCCAATCCCACCTCCCAATCTTTTAGCACTAGGGAAAATCGAGCCCATAGCACGGATAAATATGCGTGTGTATCCATCACGCCAATCTAACCTGGTAGGATGTGGGAAAGAATAAGAAGTTGGACAGAGTTCCTGATAAAATGTACCAGAGAGAAAGAGAGTATAAAAGTTGTTGGGATGATTTAGAAATAGCTCGAGATTCCTGATGTAAAATTATCTTGTATAATTTAGGAGTGATTTATTGGAAACTATTGGACAAACATTTCTTTGTTCCTCCCAATACTTTTTTGGCCCCTTAGAAAACTCAATGGTTTTGGGAAGAAATTCTTGGGTACTCTTGGAAATGATATACTACCTCCGTTATAAATTATAATATATTTTGGCTTTACTAGTGATGAGCACTACTTCAGTAATCTTAATGGAGGCGGGCAGAATGGATTAATGGAGGCGGGCAAACCATCCGCCTCCGTCCAAACATCATGGTTAATCTAGACGAACGGAGGCATTTGGTTTGATCGCCTTGGTTAATACATTAACCGAGGCGGTCGCCCTTAGCGGCCCGCCTCTGTTAACAGATTAACCGAGACGGTTGGTTAAAGCTGCCCGCCTTCATTAAACAATTAACGGAGGCTGCTTTTATTACTTACCCGCCTCGTTAGTGATTTTCCAGATTAAAAAATATACTTTTTCGTATTTGAATTTGAATTTGAATTCTAATTCTAATTCTAATTCTAATTATATTTTTGCAAATTAAACACAGACAAAAGCACCGAAATACGCATAAAAAGCATAAACATATATCACATCATTCAAGTTATTACATCATAAATTAACACCCAAAAGACGAACCAACATTCAAGTTACAAATATCACTACTACAGAAAAACTTATGTGAGGCGTTTGGGAATGGGCCTCGGAGGCGAGCGGCCATTTCAACCACCTTGGCTAATGCCTGGGATTAACCGAGGCGGGCATTTTTCTTAACCAAGGCGGTCACGATCAACCGCCTCGCAAAATCGATTTACCGAGGCGGTTAAAAAATAACTGCCGCCTAAAATATATTAACCGAGGCCCGCCTCAAAAAATAGCCCCATTTTCGGAGGCGGGCCCTGCCTCGGTTAATAGTTGCCGAACCCACTCACACCCACATTGGCCCATCTTAGCCTAACAACAACACCCCACTATATATACCAGATCAAACCCAAGTCCACTCGCCCATCAGCCTGCCTCCCTCCCTCTCCTCCCTCAACCGTGCGGCACATCTGAGCACACAGTGGCGAGTAGCGGCGACACCCTCTCTCCTCTCCCTCCGCGCAGCTGTTGGCGGTTCTTATCACATATTTTTACCGCCAACATTTTAACAAAATATGATAAATATGATCATCAAAACTTAGAATAGGGCTTTACAACTCACATTCTCCACAAGTTTTGGTATGAATATGTTTTGCAGGGAAAGATGCGGAAATACACTAAAATGCGCATTCCAAAATACGTATTCAAGCAAAATAGAAGCAAAGCACATCCAAACATCAGAACTGGGCCAGAGCACCAACATAACAAGGGTCCAGACCCAGCCAGTAGCCCACCAGAGCAAGGCAGTGGAGCACCGCTCGGTCCCACCTTGCTTTGGCGGTATCATCAATGCACGTGGAGGCGGTTGCATGCGGTGTTTCCTAAAATACACGCTCAAACCGACCATCTCCACACTATATAAGAAGACCCCCCTCCTCACATGAAAGAGAATCATATACACATTTGGAGGAGAAGAAGATGGACACACTTCATTCCAATAGCTTCTAGCTAGAATAGTAGGGAGTGAGAGAGGGAAAGAGTTGGAGGAATAGCGGAGTAGCGGTACCCTCTACCTCTTGTACTCAGCGAGCCTTGTACCTCAGGTGGACGGAGTGCCGGACTTGTCGGCCCCCTCTGCACTTGTACCTCTACAATCATCTTATTACTTGGAGTAAGAAGATCGTGTTCATCTTTTGGTATGAATCTTTAAGTAAAGTTATCGTTGTTACAACTTACTTGGGGGTTGGTCATCCGTCCTCGTGATGGGTGCTCTAGTAGAGGACTACTGATAAAGATAGAAGTTCCTGGGCAACGCTAGAGTAGTAGCAGATAGCGTAGACATGGTGTCTAAGCTACACGCTGCCTTCATTTGCCTCGTATCCCACGGTTGAGGGGTAGGCGGCAGGTGGTGATAGCCCTGTCCGTTCCTTGTAATCCCCCACGTCCGGATACGGCATAGAGCTACATGCCAGTATCGCTTGGCAGACCAAGTGTACGCCGGTGCCCGAAGTGAGTCTGTAGTAACAAAGTTACCTTCGCTTAAGGTTTCTACCCTTAGAGGAACCTCACTACCCATGTTATCCTTCATCCTATTCTCCTAGGCAAACTAGCCAAGAGACTACTTACAATACTGTTCCTTTGGAAAAATACGATACCCTGAATACTTCCTGGTGAAGTGCTACAACGGTACTTTTGTGCGCTTGTGGACTTTTCTGCTTTCGCTAAGAAGCACCAACAAGCATTTCTGGCACCATTGCTGGGGAGCGGTTGTCGTTTTAGTCTCCGAACCTAGTTTGCCCGTGTATCCTTTGTTTTTACTTTTCTTTTCTTTTGCCCTTTTTCAATGGAGCAACCTACCATTTTAAACCTTTCTTCTCCTAAGGGCGAGTTTGTTGAACCTCCACATCGAAGCCAATCACAGCTTATAGTTACGAACTCCGCCCTAGCTTTATAGCCATGGTTCGAGAACAAACCTTCTGGGGGTTTGATTACGAAAACCCCTATTACCATTTAAGGGAGTTTGAGCAGCTCCGTGCTTGCCTGACTATCGCAGTCATGTCACAAGAAACACTTCGGTGGAAGTTGTTTCCTTTCTCGCTTGAAGAGAGAGCGAGACAATGGTACGCCAACAACGTAGGGAAGGTAGCTGGTGATTGGGAAGAACTACGGAACAGATTCTATCTCGCATTCTTCCCTATATCCCGAATTGCTGCCCTACGACAAGAGATACTCAACTTCCAACAAAAAGAGAAGGAATCTATAGGTGCAGCATGGGACATATTCTCAATTTTAATGAGATTCGGCCTAGACATGTCTATACCCAACCACGTCCATTTCTGGTTAGGGCTTAGCAAGGAATCTGCCCTACAACTCGATATAGCTGCCGGAGGTTCATTCACCCATAAAACCACGGTGGAAGGAGAAGCTCTCTTAGATCGTATACTAGAGAACACTCCCCCACTAGAACCCCTCTGTGTAGAACCTAAGCCAAAACATGAGGAAGTCTCTTTGGTTGAGACCGAACCCATGACTTCTTTAGAGAGACCCTCACCCGAACCAGAACATCCGGAGGAAGGTTTCCAACCTTCGGACCTTTCATATTTCGAGGACGCATGCCAGAAGAAACCACCAGTCCCAGTCACTCCTTCTCCTGTAGACAAACAATTCCTAGGGAATCAATTAAGGAGTTGACTACGATTTTGAACGACGAATGGACTGAAGAGGTAGAACATTCTTCTGAAGAAATTCAGATTCGTGTACCCTCTTCATCTATTCAATGTAAAATTCATAGGATGACGGTGGAAGTGCTTTACAATCCTACTGTTGGAGCAAATATCATGTCTTTAACTTTTGCATGAACTTTCTTTGACAAAGAACCACTTGCTCCAACAAACAAAACATGCAGAATTGCACCTCGACTCAGACTAGAAGGCCTAGGGATTCTTCATAATATATCCATATATCATGAGCAAACTAAAATTTCCCTAGACTTCCATGTCTTTAACATCAAAGATTTCGATGTCATAATAGGGCGTCCCCTATAAAAGCTCCTTGAACCATCATCATCTGGGGATTTGAACGTAAAAGTGGGGAGAGACACCTTTACCATTCCTATTACTCGAGCCAAAAACTCAGTAGCAGAATCTCTCCCCCATCTTGACTTGCCCATGGAGGTTATGTCGGTTTTACCCTTTGATGCCCCTGAGTCGTCTTTAGAAAACAATGCAAAACTTTTCATAGAAGAAGAAGACGGCTTGGGAGAAACCATAGACCTTCCCATAGAGGAAGTACCGGCACAACCTCCAGTTGAGCTAAAACCTCTACCCGCTAGACTGCGTTATGTTTTTCTAAATGGCGATAAAAATACTCTCGTAATCATTAGAGATAAGCTTACTGACGAGGAGACATCCCAACTCATCGCCATTCTAGAAAAACATAGGTCGGTCTTTGGGTATTCTTTGCAAGATCTCAAAGGGATTAGCCCAACTATTTGTACCCATCGCATTCCAATTGACCTTGCAAGTACACCATCACGCGAACCCCAACATAGGCTCAATAATGCGATGCGGGAAGTCGTGAAGAAGGAAGTCCTCAAACTTCTTCACGCTGGGATTATTTATCCCGTACCACATAGCGATTGGGTTATTCCCATCCAAGTGGTACCCAAGAAAGGAGGAATGATGGTCGTGGGAAACAATAAAAATGAACTAATACCACAACGTACCGTCACGGGGTGGAGAATGTGCATTGATTACCGA